TTCATATTTGTTGTGTGTTACAAAAATCAAAAAATATAAGACTCTATACTAAGATAGAAAAGTGTATATTTTATACTACTCAAGTTGACTTCTTAGGATATATTATTTCAAATGATGGACTTATGATGGACTTATGATGGATCCTAAAAAAGTTCAAATTATTATACATTGAAAGATCTCAGAAACAGTAAAAGTTGTCCAATATTTTTTAGAATTTTCCGACTACTATCTGATCTTCATCAATGATTTTTCTCAAGTTACAGCTTCACTTACATGGTTGCCTTGTAGAGATAAACTTCAATAGAATTAAGAAGTTGAAGCAGTATTTGAAGCTTTCAAGACAACATTTATTTTTGTACCAATTTTCTATCATATTCACTTTTTTAAGCCATTTTTTATGGAAATAGATGCATCAAACTTGCTTTAGATGCCATATTGTGACAAATAAAAATAAATGATAAACTTCATTCAATAGATTTTCATTCAAGAAAATTTTGAGTAGCTAAATCAACTACATGATTCACAACAAAAAAATTCTTATCATTATAGTTTCATTATAAGATTGCAGCCATTATCTAGAAGGTATTTTTAATCTAATTATTATTTAAATGAACTACAAAAACCTTAAATATTTTATGTTAGTACATATTTTGAATCATTGCCAAGCTTATTGGAGCATGTATTTATTAAGATTTATTTTCTAGATCACTTATTGATTCAAAAAAAATAAGGTTTTTCAGACACTCTTTTTAGACATTTTTATCTTCCACCAAAAGAAAGAGATGCATCTTTTAATCAACAAAAAATAATTTTCTTGAAGACAAAATATTTTTATCTTTGAGCAATAAAATCAAAATTGATTATTTATTCAATCTTTCTTAAATAAATTCAATCAAGTATGTCCTCTAATTCTCTTATACATGATATCAAGAATCTTTCTTCTAAGTCTTATGATGCTTTTAGGTTTGAATTCAAGAATAAACTATTTTATTTTAAAATATACTTATATATTCCAAAAAAATACATTTACGTATTCTTCAAGCACATCATGACTTTTCAATGGCCAAACATTTTTGATAGAATAAGTCTTTGGAGCTTATATCTATAGATTTTTAGTGGTTGTAAATATGAAAGGCAGTGAAAGACTTTATACAATCATGTAACATTTGTTTAAGGTCAAAAATTTCTCGTCATCAATCTTATAGACTTTTTTAACTATTGCCCATATCTAAACAACCATGGTCTATGGATTTTATCATGATAGTAGATCGTTTTATCAAAATAGTATATTTTGTACTATGTAAAAAATCTATCATAAGTGAAAAAATAGCTAAAAAATTTTTTTAAAATATCTATTGCTATCATAGATTATCTAAAGATATTATATCAAATAGATGGACTTAATTTATATGAAGATTTTAAAAAATATTTTTTAAGATTCTAAAAGTAGATATAAAATTATCTTTGGTCTTTTATCTTCAAACTTATGAATAGATAGAGCATGTTGATCAAGTTTTGGAATAGTATTTGAAGTGTACTATCAACTACCAACAAGATGATTGGATGACTATTTTGCCATTGGCAAAGTTGGCTTCTAATAATATAGTATATTTTTTTTCATCAAACACTTTTTTTTATTGATTATAGTTATGATCCACGACTTAATGCTTTTGACTTTTCAAGAATTAATAATCTTACGACAAAAGATTTCACAAATTTTTTATCATAGATATATGCAAAAATGAAGGCACAATTAAAAGAAGCTTAATAATGACAAAAGATAAATGCAAATGCCTATTACAAGGAACAACCACAATTCAACATGGGTGAGAAAGTATAGTTATTTTTTTATAATATCAATACTACTCACTCTTGTAACAAGTTGGAGTATTGTAAGTTTAGACATTTATCTAGTAGTAAATAAATCAATCCAATTGCTCATTGATTATGCGTATCAAAGTCAATGAAGATCCATCTTGTATTCCACCTATTTCTTCTCAAACCATATAAGACATTAGACATATCAAGAAAAAAATAGATACTACTTCTTTTTATAGAAGTAAATAATAATAAAGAATTTAAGGTTGAAGAAGTCTTAGACTCAAAGCTATATCAAAATAGTTGAAATATCTTATCTATTGGTTTAGATATGATATTAGTGAATGTACATGGAAGTCAACAAAGAATCTTACAAATACAAAAAAGAAGATGGAGGCTTTTCATCAATAATATGTATCAAAATCTACATAAAACATAGCAAATCTTTGCTATAAAAGAAAAAAGATCAAGAAAAAATAATATTCTACTTTCTTTCCTTATTTGTAGCCTCTAAATTTATAGTAGCACTAAAGAGATGGAGAATCAACAATTAGCAAATTCAACTCAAGAGCCATTGTTTGCTAACTTGTTAAATGATATATTAGAATTTTTTCAACCCTCAAGATGATATAATCAAGATAAAGATCCTTAAGAATGACATGTCCTTCCTCAAATAGATGGTAAGATATAACGAGTTTGGTATCATGACCTTGGAAGAGACTCTCAATATTTGATGATTTTATTAGAGGTAGAAACAATTCTTGACGATGTTTCAAATATTTTATTTAAAGAAAGTTATGAATGCCTAAACAATGATCAAATAATAAAGTGGTCTTTCTGCCCTAGTATGGAATATTATCAATAACTGAAAAGACCTATCAACCATCTTCAAAGAGAATAAAGATCTAAGTATGTACCAAAAATAATTTGTTGTATGTTAGATTTCTTCAATATATGATGACTACTTCTTGTGGAACTCGTCTCTAGAAAGAAAGGTAATGTCACAAACACATATACTTATTCTAGTAATTATCTATATGATTAGATAGAAATATGTAAAATTAAATAAAAATAAATTAATTTTATAATATCTTCTAAAATAACTTCTTAAAAGCTTCATAGACATGGTTATGACTTTATACGTGTTTATTCTTGATTTTTAGGTTAGAAACTTGGTCAATAAGTTAGTCATGTGTCACATGTGTCAGTAGCTTGCAAAACAAGCTAACTATGTGGAACACATATAAAAAACTTGTCTTATAAGTTAAGACATGTCGCTTGTAAAGTGAACACATGTTAGAGTTCCTATAGGACGTTGTCATGTAGCTCCTAGGTGGATAGTATATATAAAGATAAGAGTGAAGTCTTCTTCACTCTTGTCAACTTCTTTCTTATTTTAGTCTAGATTCAAGAGTCTTTACTTTTCTTGTTTCTTGGCAATAGCCATTCTAATTTCCTTTTAATATACATGCTGCTTTAACTTCTATTTTGTCATACTTTTGTGAAAAAAATCTCACTTAATAATTTACTTTCATCAAGTTCTTATCCTTAATATTTTAGGCAGCCAATGTAACAAATCAAATCTTAATTTTAATAGCCTTAAGGTATATTTTTAGAAATTTAACTATCTAATCTATATCTATAAAACTTTATCAATTGTGTACAAAGCAAAAGTTATCTACTTCACTTGTATTTTTTTACTTCAACTTCTATTTATTGAGTTTTAAAGCCATCTATTACATTTTTTTTCTTTGAAAGAAAAGTTTTTTTAAATAACTAGTTAAATTGTCTCTCATATTGATGTATTCAATAATTGGAAAAATGATTACAACAACAAGTTTTGAAAGCTATTATATACAAAGATGGTTCATAGGTTTTTTTAAGGATAGATAAACTTCCATACTTGGCTACAAAAATGGCTTTGTTATTAGAATATTTTTGACACCTTCATAGCTATATTTAAAAAAAAATATTTTACTTGCCATCATGTGTGATATTCATTTCTTATAATGTCACTAAGCATTAAAAATCTCTTTAAAGATTGTGGTATTGATTATAAGATATCGTGTCATTTATTTAAGAAAAGATATTTTTTTCTTGAAGATCTCTCTTTGAATTCTTAAATTGTAAAAGTTTAGATATCTTAAGTACTTTATTTGATAGTTCTATAAATGATCATTTTTGAAATAATTCTTTTGGTTATTTATTTTTTATGCTACAAAGCAGTTTTTAGAATTGATACTTAAACTTGTTTTTTTTTGGTTTTTTTATCATCTCATTATTAATAGTTAGTCCTTGGTTTTTATAGATGTTGTTGATAAAAAGTAAAATTAAGTTTTGACCTATTTGCAAGATTCTCAAAAAGCTTTAATATGCATTGGCTAATATACTATCTACGTCAATAATTAAGATATTTTAATTTATTTTAACATTGCCTTGAATCTAAGATTTCTTATACTTCAAATTCTTGATTGTCATATATTTCAACATCCTCATTGACTTAATGTTGTTCTTGATTTTTTTTAGTTTCATCTTTATTATTAATTGAAGTTTTACTATTTCTATTGCCAAATCTTTTGTAGTTAGATTTACAACTTTTAAAAAAAATAAAAATAAAAATAAAATAGTATGAATTTATTGATCCTAAATGTAATTGGCAACGAATAGAGGTTATGTTGTACTTGAAGTCTACATAATTGAATGTAACCTTTAAAAACATATATGAATTTGCAATATCCACTTCTTGGAATGTAAGATAGGAATAAGTAGAAAAGATATTTGAAAGTCTTTGTTGTTTTTTTAAGACTATATATAATATTAAATAGAAATTATATCAAGAACAAACTTCAATGGACTTGGCAAAAATTTAAGTTTTGAATTAATATAAAATGCTAAAAAATCATATAAATTGTGATTGGTTGAAAAGAATCTTTTGATTAATGACACTATTCTTAAAATGAATCCATTATATTAAGAAAGTTCTTTTTTTTGTTATTATAATTAATCTTCAAATCCCAAATCACAATAAGAAGATAATATTTGCAATTCATTCTCCTTGTGTAAAATATTTCAAGTCTAACTTTGCAAGACAAACACATATCCCTACTCGTTTAAGTCCAACCACCAGGAATTCAGAATGGATGTGCGTTTAGAACACATGGATAGCCCTGTAATAAATTAGATACCTGGAGTATAATGAACCATTTGGAGAGTTAATATATTGGTCATATCATATTACAAGTGTCAAGCTGGACGTTCAGCTTATCAATTAAACTCCTTTATGATACTGCATTTACAATTATCAGAGCAAGAGAATGGAAGTCAAACAGTTGACTCTCATTAGAATCTTTGTAAACCATTCTGTAACACCAGAAGAAAACAACTGGGTGTTGGAAAACCTGAGTTCACATAACGGAGGTTGGCAGGGTACACTAGCGGTTTGTTCAACCATCCACGTCTGCTGTGATGCGACACTTCTTCAGAAGTACGCATTACGTCTTTCGAGCACCAGGGTTAACTCTCCGTCTGCAACGAAACTGGCGTTTAAAGCTCTCGTGATGAGATGCCATGGTCTTCCATCGGCTACAAAGAGGTCCATCACTCGTTGAGGTCGACGAATTCCAAAGAAATCCACAGTTACACCTACCTGCATAACATGCCCTTCAATTCTTCTCGATACTACGACAGAATGTTCTTCTAGCACTTGCAAAAAGTAGGAAAAACTAGGCACATTTGGGACAAAAATCTTCTGCTTCAAGTGCATAGATTAGACATTCCGAGAACAATATAGTCCCGTTGAACAAGCCAAACCTCGCCGCAGTTTGTGGCCAGGTTTACTGGCTCATTCTTAAGGGTTCTTGAAGCTTTACTTACCGTTGTGGTTGCCCGTAGAATATCTCCGGGCATGACACCTCCATTCAATATAGGAGTGTTAGAAGCAACATTTTTTCTACCATCAAAAAGCTGCGCTACCCGTGAAGCTCGATCTGCATTCCCACCAACAACAAGCTCCCCAACCATGACGCGGTTCTTTCCGTAAGCGTCTACCAACGGGCTCTCCACGAACACAATTCCCAAAGGCTTAGGCAAAGTAATCTGCACATAATTTGGAAAGAACTGGATACTGAGAACTTTCCTTCAGCCATGTGCATTCTCCCCAGTGTAATTGACATAAAATCTCTAAAACACGAGCTTGAGTCTCCCTCAACAGGTTCATATTGAAACAATACAACATCTGGACGTATCCACTTGTATCTTCACACGTGTATCTTCAAGTCATTTACACTCCAAAAAGTACAAAATATAAGACTTAGAGCTCAGACAGGAATTCCTTAGTAAATCTCGAGGAAAAAGGTTCCTATGTTTTCTATTCTGTAAAGATGTCTTCTGTGTAGAAAACAAGCTTTCAGTTGTTGGAGTGAGCTCAAGTTAATTCAATTCTAGAAGTGTATCATCCGCTTGTGCAAAGAAAAGCATTTGTTTCGATTGAACAACGAGAAGAATGAGGACTGCCCTTACCACAACTAATCTGCTTGAGGATCCGAAAATTTTCTGAAATCTGTATACTCGTTCTTGGAGGCTGGATAATGGACCCACTTTTATCTTCACCTTCACCTAAAACATAAAAGCAAGTACAAGGCAAGTTCACGTAAAGCTAGCGTTTAATATTCCTCTTCTGCAAATAAACTAAATGCTTTCAAGAAATACAATCTAGGAATCAAAGAAATAGACTGCTACTTAATTTACTCCCATGACAGTTATAAGTTATTATAAGACGGGCAGTCAGTTAAACAGATAAATTCAAGGGCTCCTCATCCCCATACTGCGTCTAAAATATTATGAGTCTCCGTATACGAAGCGACATGTAGACAACAAAGGTAAAAGAGTGAAAATTTCTAATGCAGAACCCACCTCATCCAAAGATGTCTCATCAACCGCAAAGGTTGGCGGAGCAATTCCTCTGTCTATTTTTTTCTTCATCCATCGTGGTGACCTCCGGGTACCATGTTGCCACAAAGCCTCCTCAGGTCCCTGATTTCGATTAAAGAGGCTCGAGAACCCATATTGAAAAGAGAAATACTTGGTATGTTGTTTATGCAAGTATCGATGTGATGTCTGACTGCACAGCAAGGGACTCACCGAGAAGATGAAATTGCAGCTGGTAACCGATCTGTAGTAGCCATACTCGACGTGGATGACTCTGCGCGGGGCCTCTGCGGTTGTGCGGTTGCTGCAGGGCGGGGGAAGGAAGAAATACGTATTACTGAAGGAAGACACCATAGCTGGGACCTCAGCATGACATCAAAGTGTCTACTTAATGCACTTGCCAACAGGTCAATAAAAAGCAGCATAGATGTGGCTTCTAAACTGGCCCTGTGGTGATTATTTTCAAACTACCATCTTACGCTTACACGCTACAGCAATAATCAACTCCTAACGCAATGTTTGTACCAACGTGGTTTTACGTTTCAGTAGAGGTTCAATCAGCAATGTAATTGAGAATGTCGTATTCCAGTGATTATTACATGACATCGGGAAAAACATTCTTACTAGCTTCATTCATATCCACTGCCATATGATAGATTCTCTAATTCGGTATATACAATAGGATTTGCAGGCGAGATGTCAGCGTCTACGTTGGTCAGCTAAATCCATGAGTTCTAGCATTTTTAGCAAAGGGAGAAGTAGCGAACATAATCTTTATAAAGTGGTTTCAGTGGACACATGTAATCACTTCTTTTGAGGGTCAATTATTGCACATGGAAAACAGCATCATATAAGAAAAGCAGATACATACCAGGAATCACGAACTTAGAAATGTTGGACTGCGCTTCTCTAAAGTTAGAAAAAAGTAAAGTTAAAAAAAAAAAAAAAAAAAAAAAAAAAAACTTGTAAGAGTCGAATCCCAAACCCTACCAACAACGTTCACATTTTGCAAATGTCTTCTAATCACATACCCTGCGGAGCGCAGCAACTTGTCCTCAATGTCCGCATGGTCACGTAGAATGCATTCAGGTCATTCGCGATAATTAGTGTTTCAACACAAAAATCCATCACTTTGAGTGATATACAGTAACTGTCCTTTCAATTCAGAATCCTCAACTTGAATCCTTCTGCTTGAAGTAACTACCAGCGAATTCAAGCTTCAACAGCGAAATAGAGCATGGAAGTGTCACGTTTTTAGCAGTTCGATACTCACACTTGTATCTATATTCAAACATTTTTAAATGGTATTGTACGTTTATTTCGCCAAATCTAAGCAGATAAAAGGTGCGCGAATTCAAAGGTGTAATCGAAAATATACCTCCATGACCTGAATTTTATAATAAAGTTGAAAAATTGCCTAACAAACTCCAAGTTAACTGCACTCACTCCACGAATGGTTCGCTTTGTACAAATGAACGAGGCGAACGGCAATTTCATGAAGCAATCTGAGAAACTGAGAAGCATCAGAAACGTGTACTTACAAGGCGATAGTGCAGGATAGATTGTGCGGAAGGCCTGCGAAGGTAACACAACTCATTGTGCACTGCGGAAACAAAACGGCCGAAGCTGCATGTCTTCGCTGCTGATGCGCTTCTCCTCTCTAAAATCTCGCCGTCCCGGCCATAGCCGAATGACAGAACATGCGTCTAGAGAGAGATGTCCGACGGAAATCATGCCAATCAGCGAACAGGATTCAATTGGGGATGAAAAGAACTTGGCTGGCAAGAGACGAATGACATGTTCACGTTATATGAACCCAACTTCTCCAAATGGCCGCGGTCTATGGTTTCCACTGATCATGTCGAACCACTTTCTTACGTCGAGGTGCTCCACCCAACGTCGAAGTCCAATCTGGGCAGCTTGTAAGCATGCTCACACACTTGTCTGCGACCTCACACCCCAGTTCTTCCCAAAGGCTGGGTAGCATAGCATCTCTACAGTCATGGCGAACCTTGCAGCAGCAGCAGCAGCAGCAGCAGCATCCGCGTCTACAACACCACTAGAGGCATTGATTTGCTATTTCGTGAGCTTCGTGACGCTACCTAAACTGAGCCCTTCCATTCTCTTTCTATTATTATGCACCTGATTTTCCTCAATACTGTTTGGTGGAAATGCAAATGCGAGTATTGGGGAATTTGGGTTCTGCAATCCTTGCCACACCTCTTCTTCTTGTTCTTTTGCCTCCCTTTATGCTCTTGCTTGAAGTGTTAATTCCTTTGCAATTAATCTCATATCAAGATAGAATATCCATTGAGATTAAGCACATCCTTGAGCAATTCGACTTGTATGCAATTGTTTCAATCCCAATCAATTTAAGGTCTTTTAAATTTATGAAATTTCGTAAATTAAATAGTTGATTCTATTTAATTTTTTACTTAGTTATTTTATCTAATAGAATGTGTAACTTTGGTTTGCATTGAAAAAATATGATTTGTTTTATTTGATGGAGTGATTTGTGATGAAAGATTAGAATATATGACAAAGAATTGTGAGGCTTTACTAGTTATATTTTCTCTTAGTTTCTTTCTCTTTTTTCCTATCTTATATTTTCTCTCACATGGCCTTCTCTTCTAATATTAAGTGCTACAAATTGTTAAATTTTATTTTTCTTGTTGTAAATATTGTAATCATCCAAAGTTGTCAAATTGTTTGATGTTCATCTTGATTATTCTTAAGCTTATTCATGTATTAGAAGGTTAAATTATACTAACTTAAAGGATCATATTTGTATCTATGTCCTAATCTTGCATAAGACATTATATTTAAATGATTACTTTTTGTAAAACTTTAATATTTCTAAAATACTCAAAGAAGTTTTGAGTTATATGTATAATATATATATATATATATATATATATATGAATCCTACGTAGAATCAAAAAATAATAAATACAAATGATTAAAAATTATAATAATTATTATTATTATTACAAAAGACACAAACTTGCAAACATGAAATTAGCTATGTAGTGTAATTATCTTAAAGATTGTCTTTGTGGCTTATATCAATGCCAAATTTTAATCTAATTTATACTTCATCAAGCACGAAATTTATTATAAAAGTATGTAGTATAGAATCTATTTATTAAATAATATATTTATTTGGTCTTTTTTTAAAAAATTATCTATTCCTTTGTGGTATATAATTCTTTGTTTTCTGAGCTTTAACCGTGCTATATAAATTAGCACTTTTATTAATCTCCTTAATTCACATGACTTTCATACATTCTTATATATTAATTCCTCTTTGTATAAGATATATGGTTTTGGTAGAGAGAAGTTTTTAAAGAATCTTTAAAGTCTATGATAATTTTGATTAATATTACCATCAAAAAATATTTTAATTTAATTTAATTTAATTTTTTGTTTTTATAATAATAATGTTTTAAATTTCCATAACAATTTTTTATCAAAAAAATATACTAGGTATTTTTTAATTTGTAAAAATATATTTTGACAATATCAAGTGCAAAAAAGCATATAAATTTTTATTTGTGATGTATTTTACTATGTAAGTCGTAATTCATATGTATTTTAAAAATTCGAATCTGATACTATTTTTTATTTTATTTTTGTATTCATAAATAATTTTTAAAATTGAAAAAAAATTAATTTTTTCTTTTTTCAATATATATATATATATATATATATATATATATTATAAGCTTCAATGATCATTTTAAACTTTAGATAAAAGAATCGGGATTTTTGCTGATCGTAAAATTTAACAATACAATTATCCTAAGTTTTAATATATATATATATATATATATAATTTTGATGAAAAAATATTAAAAAATAAATTAATATACTAATGAAAGAAATTCCTGATAATTTTGACTATCCATGCATTCTTTTATTTATTAATACTTTTATGAATTATTCTCTAAACATGTTTATTATTTTGTAAACAAAAAAATCTTCTAAATGATACTTGCATCATATATTTTTTTCTACCTATACAAAATTAATTAAACCAACTTAAGCATTAGTTCACTTAGAAAACTTCAGTGTCATATTGTAAAACTAAGTAACAATTATTATGGTATATGGCAATAAATAATAATTCTAGAAAAAGATAAATTGAAGCAAATAATATCTTTAATTTTTATCTTTAATTTTTATCTTTAATTTTTATTTTCATTCAAATATAAAATATTTATCAATTTTAATAATTGATCAATAGTATTCAGTTATAAAATTATGTTATATTAACAATATATGAAAATGATTATCACTTAAATGCAAAATGTGTACAAAAACAAAGGATAGACATGAGAGTAAAAGGGTTACATAAAAAAATGGTATAAAAATAGCATGAAAACTTACAATAATTTTTATAAGATTCAATATTTAAATAAAGTGATATTAGTCAATTGTAAATATTTATGTAAAATTTTATATGCAATATGTACAACAGTTCTTAAGAACAATAAGAATAATATGTAATTTAAAATATAAGATATTTAATATTAAATATTATTAATAGAATGTGTAACTCCTATTAGACATAAATTAGAATAGGCAATTGACACCGCTTTGCCGGTTGACAAGTTGTAGCTGCCATTTGTTGGTGGTAATATCATTTAGCTACCATAGCCTACCAAGCCGCCATATGGCCTAACAAGATGAGTGTCCACATGATAATTGGACATTGTTGATTAGGCTAGTTGTTTGTGTGTTTACATTAGAAAGTCCATGTGATTAGACCATGGACTTGTATTATATAAGGAGTAGAGGAGGTTCATTTTAAGCATTTGTTCTCTTGAATCCTTGATAGCAAGGTAGAGAATTCTTTTGTATTTGCTTCATAAAACTTCTATTTTAGCAATACACTTCTTTTTTATTGTCTCACAAATATTCTTGTTTTTAAAGAAACAATGATAAAAATATGCATATTTAAAATCTATTGATGTTAAGATTTAAAAAAAATAATAATAATATCAAGAAATATAAAAATAAGATTAAAAGATTTTAATTTTTAATTCAAAGCACTATAAACTAATATAAAATTAAAGTCTTCACATAAAAATCCAAATATAAGAAGATTGGCTCAAATTTATATCCATACTAATCATGACGAATATAAAGTAAATTCTAATGTGAATACTTTTTTTTATTGCTAAATTATCAATGATATAATTTAAGCAAAAAAAATCTTAAGTTTTATGTATTTTATATGGTCTATAGAATACAAATTTTACTAATATAAAAATATCAATAATAGAAGTTTATAAATTATAATTAATTACATAGTTAATATATATTAATTTAAATAATTAAAATACTTTAAATTTTAATAAAATCAACAAAAAATATCATATATTCATATTTTTGGTTTTATTTTTCTATTTTTTTTTTGTAAATTATATTTTAAGTATGTGTTGAAGATATTTATTATCAAAAAAAAAAAATTTAAATCATAATTTTTTACTAAAATTAAATAAAAAGCTAAAAGATATTATACAACTTATTAAAAAAAACTCTTAATTATCAGTTTAATTACATATTAAGAAAATCATATAATTTTTTTGATTATATACTAAGTATTATGGATATGAAGCTAAATCAAATATAAAAGACAATTTACTCATGTATCATTAAAGAAGAGAGAAAGTAAGAAGAAAAGATACATATATAAGATTAAAAAAATAGAATGGCTATTGTCAAATATAAAGAATCTAAAAAGTCTTAAACTCACATTAGAATATAATAAAGGTATTTACTATATTGAGGGTAGTCTTGCTTTTGTCTTTATAAATACTACGTACTAAGATGGTTTCTTAGAAGCATCTAAAAAGTCACAAAATTGGTAGCTCAAGTATTAAGTTGCAAGTCAATTTTAACACAACTTCCTTAAATAGTAAATTCTTTCTAAATTAATATTTTCTTAATAAATATCCTTTCTAAGTTAATATACAAACATTGGTGCTACTACAAGCCTCATACTTCATCTGATAAATCTTTGTAAATTGATATATAATATTATTTTTTTAATCCTAAAACTTTCACAAACTAATTTAACATTTATATAGTATCAAAAAATAACAAACAAAAACAAAAGAAATTTACAAAAATCCTACAAAATTAGATATGCTCAAAAAACTATCAATGTTGCTTTGCACCAACTGCATTGTGCTATTCATACTCTTATAGTCCTTCATCTCATGCAAGATGGCAACAAATGGAGTGCTAAAATTGCCCTACTACATCCAAAAAAAATTAAAATCTTATATGTTTTAGCAGTACTCACTATAGAGACCTCTTAGATGCCATCTTCTTCATTTTTATTGGCCTCAATCTATCTAAAGCATTTGTAGAATAGATCCTCAACGTCATCATCTATATCTTATATATAAGCAACAACTTCTTCCTTCAAGTATTTAAGTAGATTTTTAATATCCATTAGATTACAATAATAGAATTGATTAATCTGTGATTCTAAGTCTTGAACAACTTCTTGATCTAGCAAATAGTTGTTCTCATTATCTAATATTAGTTATTTTGTCAAGGAGATTTTGTAACACTAGAAATAATTTACAATTATTTCTTGCTTCATTTTAGATCTTTCAATTGGAACAACTATCTAGATGGTACACAAAATGTTAATCTTTTTTGAATTGGCCACATTATCATTCAAGTGTTATAAAGAAAGATGGTTGAAGGGACAAGAGTAGTACACCTTGAAATTGCAAATAATTCCAACATTGTAAGGCTAGATCTTAGATATGTTATCTAGATGAAGACAAAAAACTATGGTATTTGTTAATTGGATGTAATTAGAAAGCTAGTCAAGATGAATCTAACCATTGAAGTTATCCATGATGAGGAAGATATTTTGCCTTGAAACATGGAGGTTAAATTCCTTGAGCCACTTAATAAAGGTATTCTACATTATTCAAGAATTGGAGTTGTTCCAATATTGGTATGCAAATGTATTTATATAATGTTCTTAAAGCAATATAGATATTTAATTAGTGTAGACTCCATTTCAAGATACTTGACAATGCTTTGGTACTTGGCATCAAGGTTGATCTCATTAACAAACTTGGTAAAAAATTTGGTTCACTATTTCATGTGGAATTGGTAGCTTGACTAACCTTAATGATGTTGTTGTCTTTGAATTATTTCATCAAGTCTTTCTGTGAAAGCTAAGAATTATCTTTTTTGTACTTGCAAAGAGCTACATGGCCCATATACATCATAGTTATATAATAAGTTCTTTTTTGCAGCATTATTTCACTCTTGTTTCTATAAAAAAAAAAGGACAAAAGACATGATTGACAATTTCTTTTTATAAGGCAAAGGGAGATATTTTGAGAATTCCCAAAGAGCAATTCTACTATACAAGCTAAATTAAAAATCTAAACTGAAAAGCTTTTTGAGCTTTTTCTAATTTTTTGTTATGTTCTACAAGTTTTTATTCTTTTCTCTCATATTATATAATCTTCTATCTATTTCATTAATCCTCCATCAAGCTTTATAAGGTTTTGTCACCTTTCTCAATATTTCATGACCTTCTATCAACCTCTATGGTCTTCTATATTGTTTTGACAAGTTTTGAGATAATTTGTGATACTTCTATATAATATTGTACAATCTCATAGCATCCATAGACTAATATCATCTACCTATTACAAAGATATTAATTTAGAAAGAATTTGTTGCAATACCTGTAATTTCAATTGGAATTAACTTATAAGATTGTAGATTTTTATTGAATTGACTTTTTATTAATTAGGTAACAATAAAAAGAAGCCTATATATATTTATATATATTTAATTATAAAAAGAAGCCTATATATATTTATATATATTTAATTATAAAAAGAAGCCTATATATATTTATATATATTTAATTATAAAAAGAAGCCTATATATATTTATATATATTTAATTATAATGAAGTAGACAATGCCATCATCAAATACTAAGTAGTAATATCCCAAAACTATATAGCATAAGGCGGAATAGATCTCTAATGTAGTGATGATACACAATTGGTGGTACTCTTCAGCTATCATAAAACATGATTATCTAGCGGCGAATTGTATTGCCTGCATTTAATAACTCGACGGCAATACCCATTCGTTTCATACTAGATAATGTTTGAATTACAGCTCACGTAATACAAAGGAGGGCTGGAACAGTGTAATCCATACAACAGATTTCGGAAGATGATGAGCACTAGGTAGAAATTGGAGTAGCGCTGTTTATTTAAGACATTTTTATTGTCGTGATCGAGTACATTTGGTCAAGTACACACGTTCTTCTATTAGAACATGCGGTAGAGTGCAGTGTAGCGGAGGTAGTTACACAATCACCCTAAGGTTCTGTGGCAGGGATAGGAACATATCTACGCTACATGTAGAAGAAAGTGACATGTTACAGATAAAACTTCCCCTGGCGGCCTGTGCTTCGCAGGGTCATTATATAATAGTGGCACGGGCAATGCTCGCCAGGGAAAAGCTAATCCTCGCATACAGACTCCTTCATCGAACAAAACTAGGACAATGAACTTGGCATCTGGGCAGGACAAGTACGTAGTATTCTTACATAATGCAACAACGTGATGCTAGCTCAATAGTCGCCTCGCAATCGATGTCTTCTGGACGAAACCCATGCGTACCAGAAGAAAGGCCTAGGGGACGGCATCGAAAAACAATTCTTCAGATAATCATTTCATAAACTTGCATTAGTGGCATTGACAATAACAGTACAATTTCATGATCACAACATAAAACGAAGTACGAAGAGCAAGGCATAGTAGGAACTTCATAAAGTAAGGCAGCTGTACAATTGTAATGCTAGATTGCTAAGGAATCTGGTCTAAAGCCATACCAAGGACTCATGAAAAAAAAGAAGCCTCCACAGCAGAGGAAGAAGAGGTTTAGAATGGGTTCAATACATACGAGGCGGATTAAATTTGCTCGGCGCAGCTCCTGCAGCGACTAATGCTGGATTGTCGTAAACGTCCCTTGTAAGTAGATCCCGAAGCTTTCCATCTATTATGAACTCACTCTGTCAGCCACACTTAAATGTTTCAGAATAGGGCACCATCGAAGAACCCGCAGGAGCAGATACTAGCATAGTCGATTGCCTTAACGAGATTACCTATTGATTACCAGAGGATATCAGCTTCGACATGTCGAGAAACTTAATGCTCAAATGATCCATTTTTTGAGGAGATAAACTTTGATGAGTGCGCTCTTACAAAAACAATTCATCTCAGGATGCTAGGATTTAATTCAAGGGCCAACCAAAAACTTGACGGAGTTTAATTCATAAGGACCTTTGAAAACTACACTAGTGTTGGCGAACAGAACGATCACATAGAGTGGGAAAAGGTACTCGCGAAGAGTGCACACCAAAGGGTTGGTGGCACTAATGCCATGCATGTAGAGAGGTTATAAACCTTACTCCTCTGTATTCCAGACACGAATTGCATTTGACCTTCAGTAGCAATCGAAGCGCCTCGTTTTCTTCTGCTAACATGTGGATCTACAAGTCAACGCACCAATTCAGAGCCAAAATTAAAATTTAGTGACACAAAACATAAATTTCCGACACTCCTGTCAACCTGGACTTAATCGAGGAGATATGGGAATTAGAACTGTACCTAGAATACATGTAACCCTAAAATACTAATTCCTAGCCAGGTAGAGAACATTCATTATTTACGCTGAAAACGACGTCTACTGTAGGTACCGATAGTACGAGTGCATTTCACAGGAACCAACTCAAACCCTAGTAAAATGATATGTTGCTCATGGATTGAAAGGCCTCCAAGGTGCCATTTCACAAGTCTGAGAAGACACACTTAGACAATGGCTAGGTATGCACAGCTGCGTTAAATCACAATTTTGCAAGATCAACCGAGGGTAGAGAACCGAGGAAGGAAGAACCTTGTCCTGAGCTTTCTCAAGATTGCCCTTGTAGATTACGATTTCTTGCCTCAAGGCGTCTACCTCCATGAGCAATGACCTCAAACCTTTCTCGGCCGCCTTCATCCTGTGTCCAAGGTTTCAACCACCTGGTCAACAACCAGTTACAAGTTGGAATAAATGGATGTTACCATGGACATTAGGATAAACCATAAACTACCAAATATCTCAGTACTGAGAATCACGATTGCCAACTCCTCATTTGGGATTATGCTTCCAGCGTTAATTCCGTGAAATGCTTCTGATTAGAGTTTAGCAGCATACCTATCACGACCCCCCTCGCCTTCAGTCCATTTCTTCAAAAGCCTGAAACAAAACAAAATTGAGAGATTAACACCATGAGAACCCAGCACAAGGATTGTTTGCTACAACCGATCACTGAGCACTAAGTTAACCGACCTATGGGTACTAAATCTCTCTAGAAGATAACAAAGGATGATCGCTCTTGTGAGTAAGCAGGGCTAACCTCTCACGACTAGAACGGAATTCTCCTTGCATGCGTTTCAAGATGGCCTTGAATTGTAGGTTGAGGGATGAAACGGCTTCGTCTCTGTCTTGCTCTAGTGCCTTGACCACTCCGGCCGAGATGGCAGATGACACCATGTTGGACACAATCATCTCGTCCCTGGCCTTTTCCATTGTCGAAAAAGCTCCTTGTAATCTTTTGAGCTCTGCTTTAGTTACTTCGTACCACTGAACGCCCATGGACCCAGACAACGGTACGATTTTAATCACATGATCTCATAAATTGATCGCATTTGGGTTGCAAGTGAAGCAGTTGGCATGATAACAGATTAGACCGAATCCAGATACGGGACGGAACAACTGGAATAATGAAGGGTAGGGATTATTAAAATTTTCCACAACAAGCGTCGTCACCAATGTACCTGAATAACTTCGGATAGGTGTGAGTTTTGCTCCTTCAGTAGATCATGGCCTTCTTTAGTATCAACATCAAGACAGGACCGAACTGCCTCGTCTTGAAGCCTGCAATCCAGAAATGAAGCAATTTATGTACACAATTCATGTGCAATTTATGCACACCTTTCCGTTATGAAAGTCGCTCTTACACGCTCAAGCACAAAATTAGTAAACAATTAAATATATAAAATCTAGAAGAGCATTCTTGCAATCACATCCAACTATACTTACTTGTGGAATTGAATTTCCAACTCTGTAACCCTTTTTCTCAAGGCAGGTACATTCTGCATTATAACATTCTGTAAGAATCAGTGCAGTCAATTATCGGTTTAGCGCGCTAATGTCCTCCTCATCAAAGAAGGTTGATAAGGCATATGTTATCAATTCCATTCTTAACCAACGGGAAAGCGCTGTATGCTTCGGCTGCTAGCAAAAACGCAACAAAGTTTTCTCCGCCCAAGTCTCCTGAATTAGATTGACAATACATGCACTTTAAATTTGAGCTGAAGAATGAGTACATTTCAAGCTTCGACTAATTAATGAAGACCCACAAACACTGCAGGATGTTGAAATGTACCTGTGTTGATGAAGGAAATACGGCTGATGTGTAATCTCTGCAACTTTCGAGTTCTTGCAGTAATTCTTCTACCCTTCGATTAGCCACATCAGCACTTTCCTCAGCTTGAGCTGCCCGTTCCTCGGCCTCGTCGGCAGCTTCCATGAACACTTCCCGATCATTATGGTACAGATGACATTCATTTTCTAAGCGCGAACATTCTTGAGTCAGTGACTCGCAATCCAGGGTCAACGACTTACATTCAGCCGCAAGTCTCTGTGTCTCAGCCACTTGCTTTTTCAACGCTTGCGAATTAAGAGCTGCCTCCTCCTGCAACATCCCAGGCATTCTTAGTGGACGGTAATCCGAACAGTATTCGATTATATTGAGATCAGTACTACGCATTCTCCACGCGAAATAATCGATACGGCGAGCACAGCAGATGAATCGAGCTGAACGCGACAAACTGGATAATCAGGCAAGAACAGTAGCAGAAATCGTGAGTAACGCTAGTAGACTTCTCCAGGGATACCTAGCCCCACCTAATCAGTTAGTATATACTTCGATAACATACATAATTCCTGCCATGAATGAAGTGAGCACTAGGTGCAATGATTCGAAGCACTATTGCTTCAGCATTCGCGATCTGGTGATGGAGTTCCCTACAGCAGCGACTTACGTTACTACAAACTTCTCGGGCTATATCAAGATATGAGAACTCTCACAAGTCGATCCTTGAAGAGATGCTCCACCCTACCTAGGTGTTCATAACGTGAAAGTCTACAGAAGAAGCATTAATCCAGGTCTTTCATACATGAAATATCCAGTGGGGTTGCTAAGCTTCGGAGACATTCCAAGAGCATTGCTGGTCAAGTTGGAACACTCTTGTTATTGGTCGGTCAACTTAGATGATCACGTTAGGGTTCTAAAGCAAAAAAACCATAAGTCCAATGAAAACAACAATATTACTAAAAGAGTTCAAATAAAATGGTATAGGTTGCCAGTACTCGCTGTAACACAGTAGATAACAGAAGAGAGTACCCAGGGATATCCTGAAGATCGAAAACAATGTACGGGCATTTTCATACTGCGAGGATAGAGCCTACGATTCCCATAAATTATAACCGTACTGTCCATACTATCGAGAATCGCTCTGTATAGACTTGACGACGTGACAGAAAAATAAGCAGATGGTATACCATGTGCCGAGAGACGTACCCTGGCCTTCAAACATCTAAAATCTGCCTCCTCAAGACGGCGGAGAAGCACGTGGACATGCTCCTGGAGTTGCCGTTGAGAATCCACTGCTTCCTCAAACTTGGCCTTCCAAAAATCCTCACAGGGACACGGTTCCATCATATGACAGACAATTTCCAGCATAACATTGTCTAACTCTGCCGACATGCTCATTACAGTGTCTTCATCGTACCTGCCCATTCTCTTTCCCGACTAAGTTCTGAGAGAGTATGGACCAGAGGTTCGCAAGGATAATGGCGATCTGAATTCCCGCAAGCAGAGGGATTCTCAACTCGCTCTAGTATTCTCCCCCCGTTCGATGCAAAAAATGGCAACTCCTCTCCTCCATCGACAAGCAAGCTGATTTGGGACTGCCTTGAAGTAAGTACTTCATATTAAAAATTCCTGTACCTCAAGACAATCTAAATTCCACTTCCCACAAAGTACGTACTCAAATCTTCATACAGATTTTTTCGATGCTCCGCCAATATCGTGGAGCTGCATGGGTGCTCTCATGGACAACATCACCGTTTCAATCCACGCTCATTGAACGCTTCACTCTACGAAACAGCAACACTACGTGTGCAACCTCTAAACAAAATGCGATTGAAGCGTGCGTCTTTTGATTTAATTACCAGAGGCAAAGGGAAGCACGCAAGAGCGAACCACCAAGCCTAGAAATGCAGATCTCAGAAGGCGTCCGCACACCAAAGCCAACCAATTTACAAATAACGCCTCTACCTGACCGTCCAACCTCTCCGCTATTCCAATGTAAACGAAGCGAAAACCTGTTCACAACGTATCTCCGACACAGAATGGCACGAAAATCGATACAGGATAGTAGCGACAGGGGGCGAATCATCAGAACGAGAATCTCGACGTCGAAATCGTCGAGGTAGGTGTTGGAGATGTTGAGGAGAGCGTCGTCTGTCCAACGGTAGGATGCAGACAGCAACGGTCGGATGCCAGCACTCGAGTTGCTAATTCCAAATTAGGAAGCTCCACAGTCGATTACAAATAACGCTGGTTTATCTAAGAACCACCACCGATGCTCGCGAAGCCCCTCAAGTGGACTTACATGGTAGTCGGAATGCGGACCACGGAGTTCGTTATGCTTCCGCTCGGTGGTGGCTTCTTCTTCGGGAGGAAAGCTTTTGTGGTCGCAGTTGCAAAACCTCTGACAATGGAGCAAAAGTAATCGGTACCATTCCTCAGTGAAAGGGGATGACCATGATGGCTGGCGAAAGCGGCGATTACGCCTGGGAAGGCGTTACAGAAGGACCGAACCCATCGCGTTTTGCTGGCTCATAATGGCCTCCATGCGGGCCATTATGTGGCTAGAATGGGTGGATAGTGGTGGAACCTATTCCCAAGGGGAAAAAAGCTAAATTTGCACACATGTGTAAGGCATTAATGACATTATCACTGTGAAAATTGGAATGACTTTTTGACATGTAAAAAGTCATTTTTATGATTTTGGTGTGGAACATTTAGATGATTCAATAATATATGTACATATACGAGAATGTTAAATAGACTCAGGGTAACTAAATTTACCCGTCCATTGTAACATCCATGTAAATAAATAAATAAATGACCTCTAGATTCATGTCTCCACTATTGGATCTGAAATCAACAAAAACCAACCACATTCATCATTATTACCATATTCTTCACCAATAACAAAACATACCAAAATTTTATTATCAAATGTTTGCCTGTATGTTCTTAGTTGAGATTTTAACTTCAATGTTTAAAAAGAATCACTGTAGAATGTTGTTCAACAAAAATTAGTTTGGGGAGTAAAGCAACAAATGAATACTTCAAACTTCATAGAAATACCAATTGTTTTAGGACCGAAATTATTATTTTAAAAAAAAAAAAACACATAAGGGGTTTTTGTTGTTTCTTTTATTGTTGTATGAAGCCTTACAGAAAATGATTTGTGAATCAAAATTTTAGTTTTTATTTTTATTTTAAAATTTTAAAAGCAAGTACTTCAATCAATTATGTAAATGAACAAAACATGATATTATACATGATATATGTAATTGAGGAGTGTCCAATAATTATAATCTAAAGCTTTTTTTTATTTTTTGATTTGAATGGTAAAATTGTTTAAAAGAACTTCTAAGAGTTTCAAATTTGCAAAGAAAGATTTATACAAAAGTTGTTTAACAATGCCTATAAAGTTACAATAACTAAAATAAAATAAAGTTTATTTAATTAAATTTAAGGTTTTAATTCATAAAAACACCAATAAAGTAATTTTTGTAACAACATAAGTATAATACGTTCAAATAAGTAAATAAAACTAACTAATTAAATTCAATTAGGTTTTGTTTTTTCAAACTGAAAACTTAACACATGAAGATTGATACTTTGATTTCATCAATCATCATAATTATTAACTTCAAAATAACAAATAATGTATGATAAATATTTAATTTATAATTTAATGTTTGTACATTATTTAATTTCAATACTCAAGTATGAACACATAAAATTGTAAGGATAATTTTGCATCATGTATGTAAGAACGATTAATACTTTTGATTATTTCTTTGACTTTTGTATTTTATTTAATAACATACCTCCTACATGAAAAAATAAAAATAAAAAATAAAAAAATATATCAATGAGTCTTCAAGTTCTTAGCAGAAAACAAGAATTTGTGCATTGAGTATTGGTTAAAACAAATATCTACATATATGTAATAAAATATTAAATTACAAATAAATATTATATTAAAAAACTTATAAGGATTTTTGTATATATATAATATTATGCATATAATTGCTAATGTTACATCCATAATTGATATTGCTACATTCTATGTGACCTCTTCATAGACAACCAATTAATAATATGCCTCTTTCTTTTGCTTATTTTATCTTTTCTTTGCTTTAAGAAAGAGTGGTGGTTGGATAGAAGGTAGTGAATATTTTATGAAGATATAAGTTGTGAGCTTTCTTTTACTATATATATATATATATATATATATATATTTGCCCCAAAATTTATTCTTATTTAAAAGTTTATTTTTTATATTTGGTAGCCAAAAGTATAAAAAAAAACTTATTTTTAATATATGCTATTCTTGGATAAATATTGGTCTTAGAGATTGAATTGCTAAGTATGCCCTAAGCATCGAAATGCACTTTTTGGTTAGTTTAAATTGTATAGTGGTCACATGAGGCAGAGCAAAATCATTTGGAGATATAAAGTTAACAATTCTATTTTTCTTTCTTTCTCTCTCTCTCTCTCTCTCTATAACTATATTTTTCTAATGAAGCAAAATTTATTTAAAGATAAAAATAAATAAATAAATAAATGAAAATATTAAAATCACTAAAGAAATACTCTAAAATCACTACAATTTGAAATTTGAACCATTAATATGTAAAACTAATTCTTACATAAAATCATTTTTTTTACTACATCCCTTCTAAGCTTGTCACTCTTTTAAGCACCTACAATCTTTAACATGAAGCATGAGCAATGATCACACTTGGACAAACAATTGTACCTGTAACATAACAAGATCAAGTCCAATAAAGTCCAAAAATTAAATTTTTTCTAAAACATATTCAATTCATGGAAGGAATTTTTGAGTTATTCAAATACTATATTCGTATTAAAATTTGAAAAGTGCATATAAGGCCATAGCAGCTAGAATTACAACTTTTTTTTTTATTATTTTTGGAAGGAATTATTCAGTTATTTAGATACTATATTTGTATTTGTATTTATGCCATTAGCAGAGGCAAGAAGTGCATATAAAGCTATAGTATTTGTAGCAAAAATTTAGAAAAAGAAATACACATTGTCTTAGAAAAAAAATCAAAGTGTATGGATTAAGCATTAAATTTATTTTTTTGAAAATTTGATTTAACTAAAAATCGATTCTTATCATGGTTGCCCAATTTGCCACAAAATTGAATCATTTACTCCTTCAAAGACTTTGTCAAATTTGGCCTTAATATAAACACATCTTTATTCAAAGGCAGACTAATTGAAGGAGAACAAGTAAATGTTAGATTTGAAATGAGAAAATGCAAAGAGGTTAGCCAGGATTGCAATAGCAAAATCAAAGGCACGAAAAAATAAAACATCTAAAATACGATTAAAAGTTTCTTGGATAAAAATTAAAGTAAAGAATATATTTTAATATGAAGGAATTTTTAGAAGCTAGTGTGGAATGAGACTATGGTTATTGCTATGACTAAGTTAAATGACAACATGTAAATATTTGCTAACTTAGAGTGGAAAATGATAGAAGCTTTGCATAATATATTTTACACTTCAATCCATATAGAAAACCATTTATTAATATCAATCAAAGGTCAAATAGATCTATAGAGGATCTTAATGTCCAACTCATGGCACTTTGGCAAAATGATATCCAATAATATAAGGTGCTAGCTATTAATGAAGTTGGTAAAATTATAATAGGAGACAACAACAATGGCAATTTAAATAAATAAAACATTATTTTCAAAAGTAACAATGAAGATTTTCTCTATAATTTTTGAGTTGTATCTATCTAATTAACTTCTTCATTACATGCTCTTATTCTTATATAGACAATATAGATAGAATATAGATATATCTTAGAATAAATTTCAAAGAAATAGAAATTTATTTATAATTACAAAAGAGGATGTAGTAGCAGTTTAAAGAAATTTTAAGCATATCATTTAATTGTAATTCTATAGTTATATACTTTAAATATATGTGGGTAAAACCTTGCTCTTTTAAGCTAATTTTCTTTTTCAACAATACATGGTAGAAGTATACTCAAATATAGAATAAAGTTGCTTTAAATTTATTTTAAAAACTAAAAAGACTTACAAAGCAATCTTTATTTTAAAGTCTAGAATGCACTTGATGTTAAAGACTCCAATGCATCAAAACTTAGAAAGAAACATATTTTTTTATCTTCATTCTTAAGATGATTGCCTCAAATGGTGCAACTATAGTAAGACGCAATGATAATAGTGCATATATTTGTATATCTTGAATAATTTAATATTTTAATTTCCAATCTTAAATGGCAAAAAATTCTAAAATAATTCTTACACAATTAAATAAAAAAATACTAACTTGATATAGTTAGTTGAATAATTTAATTTAAACTAATTAAATAAATAGCTTTATATTTATTGTTGCAAAATTGTGGATAATTAAATTTTAAAAGAAGGATTTTTGTATATCTTTATACATTTTGTTGTTCTTCTAAATTTAAATTTTTTCTTCTATTTTTGTAATTAAGTATTTATTCACATATATTTATAAGGATTACAATCATATAACTATTATTCTTAAGAATTGTCACAAAATTAAAAAAATATCTTGATGATTGTTAAATCTTTGTTTTTGAAGCAATATGATGCTTGAATAATTTTGGAATGTATAATAGATTTCTATTTTTTATTCAATAAAAAATTCACTTACTTAATTAAAAATTACTTACATTTAATACAAACAAAGATATTGGAATTTTTTTTAATTATCTTCATTTCATTATCTTCAATTTAGGAGTTTGGTCTTTGGAGGTATGTTTATTTTTTTTTTTTGCAAAAAAATATACATGCAGCCAATATACATATTATGAATGCAAAGCCAAGAATAAAAACATTTGTTAATTGGCTCCTTGCTTTTAGTAAAAATAAATTCATGGCTATTGAAGTAGATTATATTGATTTCCCACAAAACATGATATTAAGTTAGTGGGATATCTTAGGCTTAATTGATGAGACTTACCTTAAAATACAAACTAGTCTAAAATGCAAGAATTTTTTTAAAAAATATGTTATTTTTGTTACTTCCAATAATGAAGTTGCTATCATAAAAAAATTAATATTTATATATATATAAAAAATACCAAGAGAAAATCAAGAATTTTAAATACAAATAAGATTGACAATCTCAAAGGCACAAAGATGGTGTGAACAAAATACATAAACACATTGTGTGTAAGGAAGTGGCTACTTCAAAAGCTCATTCTAAAAGTTGGCACATCTATGATGATTTTTATAATCTTGACCCAACCAATGATCTTTGTAATGGAACTTGTGTAATTGTCAAATATCTAAATAATTGAGTCATTGAAGCTAAGGTGTTGATGGAAGAAAAGTATGGCCTCGTTGCATTTGTCTTTAGGATTACTTTGACTATTGTAGAGTTAAGTCTCTATTATGCTGTGAATTAAAAATAATTCTACATAGCTTCTACAATGAAAATAAATAAACGACAATATCAAAAAAAAAAATATATGTATATATATATATATATATATATATATATATGTTAAATTTAGAAAAAATATCTTCTCTCATGGTCAAATATATGCTATCTTCTCTTATGCACTAGCACAATAAAATATAAAAGTTTTTCTAGAGAACAATATAAAACAAGATGTTGAATTAATGCACAATGTTCTTTACAATAAAGTGCTTTAATATTGACATCGTTTAAATAAATCATGTTGTCTTATTTTATATCAAATATTTTAGATAATGTTATCCTTTCACAATTTAAAAATGTATGCTCCTCTTTCACATGTATTGTCTTATATTATGTCAGAAAACAATTGTGCCCAACTGTACCAATTTTTGCTAATATATCTATAATATAATTGAATTATTAACCAATAAAATAACTAAAAATTATGCCAAAATCACTCAAAACATATACTCATTCACAATGTAAAAGAACATGTCGCTCTTTTACATATTTTGTCTTTTCAGGATATAAAAATATATGTTGTCCTTTCACATACATTGCCTTATATTGTATCAAAATATTTTTTGTGCCCAAAAATATGGGTTTATATATATATATATATATATTTATACATACATACATACATATATATATATATATATATATATATATAAATATTTTGTATATGAATTTTATTTCTATGTGTACAAGATTGAATTGTTAGACTCAATTCATCAATAATATGTGTAGACAATGCATTAATTTTTTTGAATATGTTTTAAATCTGAAATCTTATTTCTAAAAAACAATTAAATTAATAAATTTTCATTACTCATGCATGTATGAAAATATCTCTTATAGTTTTCAAATAAAAACTATCAAAAGAAGAAATTATTCATCTTTTCTAGTAAGGTTAACCATGCACAGTTCTAGTATTCCACTACATTCCAAGTTGATAAAATTCAACAATATAGTAATTCCTTCAGCAGGCACGAAAAATATGTAAAGAGAAGAACAATAAATATGGAGAAAGAGAAAAGAAAAAGAAAATTAAAATGATGCTCTTTGAATGCACTAACGATTGCGTTTTTTAAATTTGTAGACCCCACGGAGAAAAATTTCGACGAGTGTCAAGGAACGTCACGTTCTCCTGCGCTCCCCATCGGTGCACTTGCCTCCATCTGTAACAGGCGCGGGCCCCAGGTTGCACCTTTTCCGACTTGCTTCGAGGGCCCCTCCTTCTCCGTTGCTCACCGACGAGGTCATAGCGGTGAGTCTGGACTTGCAACAGTAAGCTCCCAGTGTGACAGCTAGTGAACGAGGATGACTTAGTAAAGATTTGCATACCGTGAGAATCTGAAAGCACTTAATCTAAGTCGGGAAGGAAAGAGCCAGTGTTCTTAGTGCATGAGCTCGGATGCACTGGAAAAAGCAATTTCCAGCAGTTTACAGACAACCACAAGCAGGTTAACGTTGAGGACCTGGTAAAGGCTATAGGCTGTTGAAGCGAGGCGTTCTGCACGACGACGGAGTCATGAAGTTACCCAACCCTCACTTGATTTTGCATGTGTGCTGACTCTCACGCCTCTCGAGCTGTCCTGTAACGTCTTCAGCCTCCCGTTCCAAGTGTTGCACCGTTCGTGCTGTAAAAGTATGTAGTGGAGGCATTACTCACACGGTCTTCATGAGATAGATCGGCTCTCTACAACCAATGAGAGTAAAAAATCTCAGGAGAGCTTCATACTCACTCTTAAGAACACTATTAGATGCATTCATTTGGAAGCGACGATCAACTTTGATTGTGTCCTGACTTCCTTTGTGGTGGTGCCCAAGCTAGTACCTCCATGGAACTGGTCTAAATCGAAATGCGGTCGCACAGAGAGGTGAAGCATAATAGGCGATTATGTGTTGCTTGGCTCGACGTGACTTGCAAATTGCGTACGAAGGTAATCGTATTATCACAATCTTGTCAGTTTTGGTGGCTTTGTGATGTACTAATGCCGTGGTTGATTGTGCCAAAGTAGGTCACGTTAAAAGCAGGCTGAAATGCCAATGCAACCGAGCCACACTGAACACGGGGGGTGTTAAGTCATCCTGCAGTTATTTTACTTGGAATACCACTCCATCCTTAAAAAAATTCAACTTCACCAACACTGGAACTACAGATAAACCGAGCACCAGCTTCAAAGCGCCTGGAAAAAATTGAATGTGTCGCAGAACGTAGACGCTTGTCGACGATGTGAAAGTTTGCCCCAGCCGGTCACACCTCCAGTTCAGTGTTCGGCAGCTGGAGCACTACTCTCGATTGCAGCGCTCGGAGATCTCACTGTTTCAGTAGTTAACGCAGCTCAATTCATGTTTAGTTATGCGGTGGATCACAATTGGGGAAGCGGTGCCCTCAAACTGAACTAATATTCCAGAGGACATAAGTGATAGCTCTCATTCGGAGTGTCGCCTTGTATGATGGGCACTACAAGTCATGTCAGTTTCATACCGCGATGAATTGCGAAAGTGCGCAAGACATGACGTGCGATTCAGAAGCCTTCTTGAGGGGCTTCATTGCTCAGGAACCATGCAGAAGAAACTTCTGAGCATTCTAACCAAAAGAGTCAACAAGTTTTCCGAGAGTACTGCTAGAGCTTTAGCAGAGTCAATTTCAAGATGCAAACGAAGAACTAGAGTCCGAGAACAATTAGCTGAGGAAATGCTTAACTTGCAGTTATCGGGCCTGCAAACTACATTGTCTGAGAGGTTTGCTTGGTCCCTTCAACACTTCATTGCTAAGAATCACCATACTGATGCACCCCTAAGTACGCAGGAGAATTTACCCTACAATTATTACACAAGAAGTAAGAAACGTATAGAAACAATTGGGGACGCGGTGCCCATCAGTTCTTGTCAATGAGAGTATATATCAAAGAGTGGAAGAGAAGGTCCTGCACGTCTTTCGTAATTCAATTGCAGTTGTTCTCTTGATTTACGGTTTCAACGAGAGGAAACAAAGTCAATGTTCGTTAGGATGAAATACAAGGTTAGAGGGCCAGCACACTAATTAGACTTTTGCGAGAAAACACTGGAAGTGTTCCCTCGACTCGAACGAAATTCGAACTGAAAGAACGTGCACAACTACCCTGTATGTAGCGACATCAAAAACTAAGTGTTTTACATAAGTGGTACTACCAGCAGATTGATCCTGAAGGCAAAAGAATAGGAATACAGGCATATAGAAACAACTGATATGAAGCGTTCTCATAATGACCTAAACCTAAACCTATAACTAGTGCAGCAACTTGGAGCATACAATCTTCGTAGACTTCGACGACGTCCTTTGCGCAAAAACATTTACAATCCTAACCGGGAATCTTTCAAAAGAATGCAGCACATACTAGAAGCATCGAAACTTCATGACATTTTCAATTATTGGAAGTCGCTCTTAATTTATGAGCACATATTTCACCAACGCTGAGGGAAGCTTTCTCACACAGAATAGGACGAGAATTGGAAAGAACACAAGCTACATGAGTACAGAGGAACCAACGAAATAAAACGCTGCAGCTCTTTACAGCCCCAATTGTATTTACAAACATCACTTAGCAGCCAATTATGAGGTCCATCCACGAGCAAAGAGGGAGAGGACCATGACGACCCTCAGTTATTGCAATAGGACTCTAGTCTTACGGGTCCATCGACCCAAGGAGCCCTTTCAAGACAAAATCAGCGGTAAAACCATCTTATTCCCGTGACTTGTCTAGCAAGGATCCTAGCCACCCAAATTGGAAATCGGACGAGTAGCAGAGCAGCCTAACTCACTACAGGCAGATCCACTTTGAAACGGCTAAGGAGGGAAGACCTTCGATATGGGGAACCACAAAAACAAAATGCCTCAAGGGTCTGCATGGCCCGCCATCTCCTCGTCGCTGGACATGCAGTCTTCTTCCTCGCTCAACTCATCATCACTGGAGTCCTCTGGATGCCTTCCAATGTCCTCTGCCTTTGCATATCTTTCACAATATTCTGCAACGTAAATTGAAACAAATTTGATGTAATCAGGACACATCCAACTGCACCAAACATAGAAACATTTCTTGTGGTGTAATACCTGAAAATGACAATTTCTGAGCTATGCATTGGAGGATAGGACCACCACATATCTACACAATGCACAGGATCACCACCACAAATAGCTCAAGTTGCCCTGATAGAACAAATAAATAATTCAAAGACAAGCTGCACTATACACGCACCTTTCACTTTCTGCTCATAGTGCTCGCGGTCTCGCATCATCAACGCAGCGGCTTCACCGTTCAGAGGATCGGTAGGATTAGGGTAAAGTAAGAGCTGAGGCAAAAATACTTCGAACACATTGATAAGATCTGCATGAATCAATCCACAAATGCAGTGCACACATTGAGCTCCCTCGAGATTCAAACGTTGATTTAACATTTCAGGGCCAACCACATGTTACAAGTGCTGACTACATTCGTCCAGAAATCACATAAATAAACCCTAAATACTCAGCCACGATAGCTTAATGCAAGACTCATCAACTTCAATGAATGAAGTACACTCACCGAACATGGGACTCCAAGTCTGATTGATGACATCCAAGCATACAGATCCTGACCTGCAACCAACGCAAATAACGAACGTCTCACGCACTGTATCACACGTACGCCATGATTACAGCCAAGTTACTCATAGAACAAGAAAGTGCATAGGATACTGCTCAAACATCTGCGAAAAAAACCTAAATCTTCATACGTGTGTACATGCAAGCAAAGTTCCCATGAACGTAATATAAGACAAAGCTATTGAGATTATCCAGGTTACACTCAGATTGCCACAATAAGTCTGAATTGGACCCTGAACTCTGTCAAACTAACGAGATCCATCACTAAGGAATGGATTGGAAATGCTCATCATCATTGATCTGCATTGTAATTTAGCTTCAAAGTGTCTCCAGAAGATATGATTCACAGCAGTAACCATCTTTGAAGAGTAACTAATACAATTGTTATAATACATTAGCTACGATCCACTATTTCTACTAACACACTACGAACAGTGCATAGTAGAAACAGGGCACTAACTTGGTGCTTCCATACTTCAAGGAATAGAAGAAAAAAAATTAGGGGAAAAGGGAATGAAATACAAACTATTTAAAAGAAGAAGAAGAAAAGAACAAACTATGCATTCGAATTGCTGAACTATAGGACTGTAGTTCAAACTGGAAATGAATATCTTACATCTCATCTACGTTGGGATGGAAGATCCTATTCACAAACCCAATGGAAGGAGACTTGTAGGGATAAGCATCAGGCAATTCGACTCGGATCTTCCAGGTTCCTTCTTGGTAAGGACCTGCCAACCCCAATTCATCCGCTATGGCATCAGTATTGCACAAATATGAAGAGAAAAGTAAATCCTAATCCTGTAAGTCACGAAAGTCTGAGCAAACCAACTAGAACATCACGTAAACAACAGATGCAATTGAGAAACATAAAATAAATTAGCTCCGATACACCCTGATCAACCCTCGAGTAATGGTATGTCGCAGAGATACAATGGAATTTACTATAATCAAACTCAAATATCCGAATCCATGTGTACATAAAAAGTATCCTCCCTTACACTTTATCACAAGGTGCACATCCGAACCTGAGACACATTGTTGCAGCCACTACTAGACAGTTCAAGACAGCACATCGAGCATCAGCTTCACAAACGGCCTTACACAACTCGAAATAGTTACGCATACGGTCCGCAACAGAAAGGAGTGAATTTAAGAAATGAAAAAACGTACTCTCACGCGGTCCATGAAACTCCACATAGAATTCGCTCATTCCATCATTCACCATCTCGACCTTGTAGTCACTCATCATCCTACCCAATCACACATTCTTGAATCGTCAGATACAACAACAACTTGCCGATTCCCCAAACCGCACCAATTCGAACAAGAAAAGTAATCACAACACAATCCGTAACACAGTCGACATAATAACTCCCCACTTCTGATCAGAAAATCCATCTCACTACCATCACCTGATTAGTCTAGTGCCTTGCCACAGATTGTAACTTAAACACAGAAGAAGAAATAGGAAAAATAAAAAAGAAAAACACAATCCAGATAACTCCAACAATTCAACACCACAAGCACTAAGATTCACGTCCCTGCTTACCACAACCTGCCATCATATCAACCTTACAAACAGAAGAAGCAGAACAACAGACCACCCAAACTACTCTGCACCAAATAAATACATAAATAAATAAAAACATGCAGAGGCAGAACACACCACCAATTCAAGAGCAGAAAACACTTACAACTTCATCACGTCCATCTCCCGCCGCTTGCTTGGGGACGACATGATGGCACTACAAACACACACAAACGCACACAAAGACAACAGGAACCCGACCCGACCCGACACCCTTTTGATCGCCAACCCTGGCAAACTCTCCGCAACACTCCCAAACTCTTTCTCAAGCGATCTCGTCACCGACACCGGCACACACCTCGCCCTCCAAAGCTCACCAACTTCTCACAGAACTTAGCCAAACAATTCACAAACCAAGGGCACACAACCAGGGCGAACCCACCACACCAACCCCTCCGGCGCCAGCGAGTCCCGACACCTTGCCCAAAACAACTCCAGCAACAACGATAACAAAAGTGAATGAGAAGGCAAAAGCAAAGCGTGACAATGGGATGATGCCCTAATCGAGGGAGAGAAGGAGGGTTGCGGCAAGGATCGACGCAGCGAGGGGAAGCTTGCAGGGGGAGATCAACCAGCCCCGCACGCCATTCTACTTAGGAAGTCCGCGCCTGACTCTCCTCTGCCCCTTCCTTCCCTTCATGGTCTCCATGACCTCATTCATCTTTTTGTCGCCATTGCTTTTCGCCGAAAGGACTCCCCGTGCCTTTACCTTTTTTACGTTTTCCGCTGCCAGCGTTGGTTTTGTTTGTTTCTGGGTTCGGTTGTTGTAATGCAGTCTAAACTTGTGATGGCGCTTCCTTGGTCCTCCTACATTGTCCGCCTCCCCATTTTCGCTATGGCTTTTCCTTTGTGGTTGGGCTCTCGTTGTTAAAATCTGTTCTTAAAGGGGTGACTGAGTTGGTTGGTCTTTGTGTTGTGGGATTCTTCCTTGTAGACTTTGTCCATAGCTAAGATAATTGAACTTATTTACAAACAAAAAGCAATATCAATTATATTATTAAATATATTATTATCTAGTGATAATCTTAATAAGCTCAAAAGTAATTTTGGAAAAACATTTTCTCATGCTACAATGACAAGAAAAAATCACTATATTGTATCATTTATAATTTTAATATGTTGGGAGAGTGTCACGGATATATTATATAAGAGACCAAACAAGGAGTTGAATAGAAGAGTTTCAACAAGAAGCTAACAAGAACTTGATTAAATCAGATGAGTTCAAGATCAATACCAAAAAAGATGAGCTAAAACTCCGTGAAATATATTATTAAGATTGAGGATTTCTTCAATCTCAAGTCTAATATATATTAGGTATTAGGAAGTTTCTTAAGAAGTTTCTATGTTGCTTGAAGATGAAGCAAACCTATAAAGTTTCTTAGATAACTTCTTTAATCTTCTTAAGACTTTTATGAACTTTTTAAAATATTCTATGAATATTTTGATTTTTTTGGAATCTTCTAAAATCTAATAGAATATTCTAAGAATATTTCTAAAAACTTCTTATTAAGTATTCATAACATTACATCCTCTTCTAACTCCAAATTCTATTAAGAGCATCAATTTCATATCTGCTTTCTTTGTTATATACAACATCCTAGTAGTAGCTTCATAGAAAAATCATCCTTAAATAGGTTTAGGTTTTTGAAGATAGAATTGATAAAACTCTTATATCTTTTGCAATGCATTAACTAGATTTTTTGTTGGTTCTCACATATGTTCATTGATATTGTAGCTGCACCATTGAATAAAATACTTCAACTTGTCTCTTCTTCATCAAAAATTAAGAATCTTTTCCACCTTATATTCCACATGATTATCTATTTCAATGCTAGGTGGTGTTAATTGTATTCTTTTTAAAATAATTAATTCTCAGTAAGCCTCCAAGAGAGAAATATAAAAGATTAGATGTACCTTCATAGATGTAGGTAATTCTAAGTAATAAGCCACTAGATTGATTTGCTTTTAAATACAAAATAGCCTCAGTCTTTGGTAGTCCAACTTATCGCAAGGTCGATTGGTCTTGATATTTTATTGAAGAAGCCATACTTTATCTCCAACTTATAAAAGTAGGAAATTTATTTTTAAATTTGTATATAGATGCTTTATAAGAATCTTCAGCTTCTTGTAAATAGAGTTTTAAAGTTGTTAGGAATTGTGACAATTATTTTAAAAAATCTTTAATTTTTGGATTTTTATCCTTTGATGTACCTAACAAATCAAGTTTTGGATGGTAATCATAGTTGGAGTAAAATGGTGTTTCTTGAATCAAAGTATGAAGAATATTGTTATAAGCAAAATTTGCTAAAGATAAACATGATGTCTAATCATCTTCATAATAGTTGATGGTATATTACAAATACTACAAAATTTGATTGACTTGTTTTGTTTAACCATCTATTTTAGGATGGAAGATAGACAAAAGTTTGATATCCACCTTCAATATTTTGAAAAAAGAATTCCAAAACTTTGATATAAATTGAGATCCACAATTAGAAATGATGTCATTAAATAGGCCATGATGTTGATATATATTATCAAGAAAAGAGTCTTGTTGTTTCTTCTCCAAAAATTGTCTATTTGCAAAGAATAAAGTGTGCCATCTTTGTAAGTGAATCCACAACAATATAGATAGCATTAAATATAGCTAATCACAATAAATCAATAATAAAATATATTGATATTAAAGACCATGTTTGCTTTAGAATTAGTAGTAGTTCTAGAAGTCCATAAGAATAATGTTAAGAATTCTTGGATCTTAAACAAATGTCATACAAGAAAAAAAAAAATCCTTCACAATCTTTCACATTTGAAGCCACCAAAAATCTCAAGAGACAAGTTCCAATGTTTTATTAAATCCAAAATATCTTGTAGCTGAAAAATCATGATGAGATTGAAGAAGACAAATTTACATTGGTCTTTTTAGAATATATAAAAGATCTTCAAAATACAAAAGATCTTCTATAAACTTGAACTTGTTGTTGTAAAGGTGTACTTCATATTATAAACTAATAAGTCTTTAGTTGATGCTAGACAAATTTATTCAAAAAAACTTAAATCAAAAAGTGTAATCATAGAAGTAGCTTAAAGATAAAATTGTTCTAGCTTTAAGAACATATTAGATGTCAATCAACCAGATGTCAATGAACTAAGAAGAATAGAAACCTAGAAATAATTCTTGATAAAAAAAATTATTTAATAAAAATTAAAAAATTTAAAGAAATATTACACATCTTATTTTATTTTTGGAATTGTCCACTCTACTACAGCTTGAACTTTCTTTTGATCCATCAATAGGCCTCATTGGATATAATATATTCAAGAAATTTTACTTTTAGTTGATGGAATACATATTTTTCTAATTTGACATATAATCTTACATCTCATAACTTATGTAAGATTAATCTCACATGTTTTTCATCTTCTTGAAAAATCTTAGAATAAATTAAGATATCATTAAGATACTGGATGATAAACTTATCTAAAAATTATCAAAAATATCATTCATGAAATGCTAGAATACAGCTAGAGTATTTGTCAATTCAAAAAGTATGATATTATATTCAAAATATTCATACCTTGTCCAAAACTTTGTCTTTTATTCATCTCCTTTATTAATCTATACCAAATTGTATGTTCTATAGAGATCTATTTTGGTATAGATCTTGGCTTAATCAAGTTAATGTAAAAGCCTTGATATCAATGATAATGGATAATAATTCTTTACCATTATTTTGTTGAAGCTATGATAATCAACAAACATTTATGAAGATTTTTTTTTTTTTTTTTTTTTTTTTTTTTTTTTTTTTTTTTTACAAAAAATATTGGTAGAGATTTGAATATCAAATAAAGTTTTTTTGCCAATTTTTTATAAATGTAATCCTTCAATATCGAAAGCTTGTTCTATGATAGGTTGTAGATTGAGCCAAATCGTCATTGAGCCCCTTCTTGAAGATTAATGGCACAATTATATAATTAATGTTCTTACAATATATCAACATTTTTCATTTCAAAGAGATCTTAAAACTCCTTATATTGCTTTGAGATAGCTACTAGCAAGCTTCTTTCTTCACGAGTTGGAGTTGCATAAATAACAAATGGCATTTTTTTTCTTAGTCATCTTTATAAAAGTCTTTGCTTTAAGAAATAAGAGCTTTGTTGTTAATAATTTCTTAATAGGTTTCATACAAAGGGATTTTATAGGAAATCCAATCTTATAAAACTTCTAATCTATAGATGGATTATATCTTTTTAACCATGAAAGTCCTAAAATGATAAGATTGGATGGAATTCTAATAATATTGAATACTATTTTGATACTATGGTTTTCAAATGATATTTTTAGTAGTATGCTCTTATGAGTAATATTTCTTAAAGGTAAAGTTTGACTATCTATTACTTCTATATATATAGATTTTTATTTTTATACTAAAAGTATTTTATGAAGTTTGAAAAATTCTTCATCTAACAACAAGCAAATACTTCTGAATCTAATAAGATATTTATTTGAAGTTTTTTTGGGCTAAGAAATAAAGGTGTAATAAAACAATAAGCAACTTAGGTAGCGAGAGAGAGAGAGAGAGAGAGAGAGAGACCTTGATGAATTTGAGGTATTAAAATGTTCAAGCATAGACTCCCGATTGAGATTGGATTTTTTTGTTTTCTTGAATGATCACACTTTTAGTTCTGATTGTATGTTGTTTCTCTGGACAATTTTCCAATTTATGACCTTCACTTTAATGTGAGCATAGATCTTGTTGAAATCAATATTTCTTTTCTTTTGCTATAAAAAGTTTAAATTATATCATGTCAATTTGCATATCTTCAATTCCACAGTGTAAAAATAATATATTTGTTGAAGCAACAAAGTAAAAAATTTTAATTTATTGCTTTGTCAAAGTCTACAAGCATTGATCTTGATGGTGTTAAAATAATTGATTATTACACTTCACAGCTTGATTGACAGTTTTATTGAGTGTTTGAAGATTAAGTAATGATAGTAATAGATCTTTTATATTATCTTTTAATTTCTAATATAATTGACTCATAAGAACTTGTTCATTCTAATTGATGTTACAAGCCAATTGCCTAAAATCAAATGCATAAATTGATGTATAGCATGACCTTTTATGTAATGAACAAATCTTTGTTGTTGTTCATTAAGCCTTACCATGTTCTCCAAATATATCTACAAATGCATCTAAAAAAGATTCAAAGTTGTTTAAGATTAGACATGTCTTTTTAAATAAAAGAACAAACCAAAATAAGCTTGTCTAATAAACAAGATTTTAATTAAATCAACTTACAATTCTTCTATTGAATAATGCTTAAGTTATAAAAAAGATATTAATAAAATTTGATTAATAAATCTTCAAAACTTCAAGTATGTATCATCAAATATTTTTAGAAGACTTATTGTCAAGGACAAGAACTTGATAAAAATAAATAAATAAGTGAGACTTTTCTCAAATAAAGATGAAAAAATAGAAATAACTAAATATATATATTAACAAAGAAATTGGAATGGCTATTGCCAAAAGATAAGAAAATTAGAGACCCTTGAAACTAGACTAAAAGCAAGAAAGGAGTTGACAAGAGTGAAGAAGGCTTCACTCTTGCCTCTATA